GAAACTGACTATATGAGATCATTTGATGGATAAGATCATTCTAACAATCATTTAATGGAAAAGATCATTCTAACAATCATTTTGAAAAACAACCTATAGAGGATTGCGTACACTTCAAAATATCTTAGTCCATGATTTAAAGAAAATTTGGTTGACTTATTACATAAAATTTGTACTTAGCTAGATAAAGATCTTAACCCATGATTTAAATACCAAATATAAATTCTCAACTCTATAGTAAGACGCGGTGCGTGGTTCTTATATATCACTTTCGTTTCACTATCTAGTTTGGTGGGGTTCATGCACGTAAGATTCGTAAACTAAATATTATAGTATAAATCTTGAAAATAAATAAAAGTAATCATTTTGTAATCACACGTACCGACAGTAGCTGAATTAAACGTCGTCGATCCTCCTCCAACACTTCTACTTCCGGTAATAATCGTCTTCCCTATACCATCACCTCTCAACATGATATTATTTTTTCGAATCTCAAGATTCTCTGCGTAAACGCCTTGCTTCACATATATCACGAACCTACCACTCCCTGAAGCAGCGTTAATCGCATCTTTGATCGTGCTGAAGTTACCTGACTCGTCTTTAGCCACAACTGCGTTATCTGCCGGCGTTGAGCTTTGCAAAAGCTTCCGGTCACCGGGTTTGACCCACGAGGGAAACCCGTCTTTCTCAGGTGGGGTATAGTTGAAAGGAACTTTGTTAATAGCTAGTGTATTACATATTAGCTTTGAGACGTTGTTTGACATCAAAGGAAGGACAATATTGGTAATGCCAAGCTCTAAGAACCCGGCTCGACAAGTGTCAAGATTGGTTAGAGCCGTGCTCAGCCATGTTTGCGCGTCGGTTTTCGAGCACTTCACGTGTGTGTCCATCGTTTCGTTGATTTTGGAGACGGTGAAGTCGTAGAGCTTGAGACAATCTTCCCATGCTGCTTTTTCGCGTTTGTCGGGGCACTTTGGTCCTAGCGTGAACGCGTGGTTTTTAGCGAGGATGACGCGGTCTAGAGCTAGTTTCGTCGAGAGTTTGAGGAACTCGGATTCGGATTTTATGGGTTTATTGTCTGAGTTATGGGTTAAGAAATACTCGCAAGGTTTAGGGTTTGGAGTTTGGCTACACCATGCTTTCACGTCTTTCGGGTTGTAACCCGAAACGGTCCATGCTACGAAAATGCATAAGAACACAAAGGTAATATAAACTCGAGAAGCCATTATATGACCAAACGTTTTGAGAAACGAGAGAAGTTTGTGTTTGAAGGTGTTTTGATGATGAGAGTGATGCTTGAATCGATGTGCTTATATAGATGTATGGGTGA